AACTATCTATGCAATCTTCAGCTGAAAGGGTAGATGAGTTGGAAAAACCTTTTTGGCTCATTGTGATACTCTCACTCTTCACAGGCAAAACCAAAATCACAGTAGTTGTTGGATAAGGCTAGAGTCTGGGATTTTGATACCTGTTTCAAATGAAGTGAAGTTTATATTGTATCCTCTGTGTCTTCATTCTGCAATTGTGCACATGTTTATGAGTCCCTGTGCTCCTACGACCATGGAAAGTATGTGTGACCTGAAAGTCTGTGTGAGTAAATAAATGAAGGAAATCTTATGTCTTCTGAAGGCTGTAATTGTTTACTTATTACAGTGTGGAAAATGGGTGAAGCTTCAGCTGGCTGAATCAACACCAAATTTATTAGAAATTGGCAGCAATCAAGATGAGACTAAAAAACTATTGCAAGACCACGAATTCCTCCTAGCTAAACTTAAGGTAAGATGTGATGACACCACACAAAGATACGTCTAGTCATTATAGTTCAGGTACAACAGTTCATAGAGCTGCCTGGGCCTCCTGTTGCAATGTGGTTGTTAGGTTAAACTCCATGTAGAAAAAAATATGTTCAGCCTCTGTCAGTGCAAGTGATCAAAGTTAGGCCTCTGCACTGGGAAAATATGCTCAGTGTTAATTACTGTTGTTGTCAGAAAATAGTAAAGACGCACTGTCTTTTCCCCTTTATGCATTACTGTCAAGTCAAGTGAAAAATTTGTTTAGCCCTCAGTAAATGCTAAATATAATGGAATGTCAACTTTTTTTTATTCCAAAAATAAAGATATTCCAGGCACATTTTTATTGAATATTAATTGATGTAAGTTACGGTAAGAATGATATCATAACATTAAACATTGCTTGTCTTGAGCTAGGAAGATTTTGGCTAAGTAACAGACCTAAAATCAGATTTTGGCATTCTTGAGAACAGATTACAACAACAATGGCATTTGAACACAGAGTGACATGCTTGCGTAAAAAAGCTGAATTATTTTAAATGTGGATGTTTGACACTGAGAAGAGTCTAAAGGCACCTAAGAAGAAATTGTGTTTTCATGCTTCAATAGGGCAGATTGTCTTTATACCTGTAGACAAATAAATTCCTCTAAAATCTTGGAGCTGTGAACAGCAACTTATCTTAATAGCTTTCATCTATTTTATTTTTTTGAGATTACATAAAATTCAGATCTGAAAGAGCAAATGTGATGTGGTAGGATCAAGTGCATTTGGTTTAACATTAGTGACTATGTGCTTCCCCAGTCATTATAAATCTCAAACATATGTGAGGTAATTTAATACAACATATAGAGAATGTAATCTAATATGATGCATAATGTGGATTTTGAATAGTATGAAGAATAGCATCACAAAAAAACCCCAAAACAAAAAACTACCAAAAAAACCCAGAGAGTGTGGTTCTGCTATCTTTACTTACACAAGTACCTCATCTTTGTTGCCATCAGTGCTACACTCAGGCATTCTTGGAACAAGCTGCTGTATCCTGCTTGAACAACTCGAAATTAGCCGAGTTCTTACACATCGACAACAGGAAGCCAAGTTTTGCCTCCTGACTGTCAAAAATAAATTTTAGAGTGGAAAAAGAAAACATAATAATTCCAATCTTTAAAAGAAAAATTAAGGTTCAAATAACTTTTTACCATCAAGTCAAACCTAAAGTGTTATATGTTTATCTTAAATGTCTTTTGCTAAGGGGAAGAAAATAATATAAATATTGTTCTGAGAGAGATCTTGTAGGTGTTACTGAAAACTTGTAAGGACATGAACAAGAGCAGTAAAACAATAAAGTCCTCTCCATAGACTCCAAATTGAAATCACTGTATCAAAGAAAACAGAAAGGGAAAAAAAAAAAAAGCAACTGATAGGTGAAATCTCTAGATGCATCCCCAAGTTGCTATTCCATTTTTGTTTTAAAATCTTTAAACTAAGTTTCTTTTCATTTAAGAATTATTTAAATAGTGAAAAAATTAAATAATCCAAAAGCATTCCATGATCTGTGATGCTCATTCAGATGTTTGACTTTCTATTCCTATTAGTCTAGATGCATAGAATCTTAAGTTTGTTTTTTCATTTAGCAGCGTTTACCTTGTTTTCTGCTCAAAATAAATAGTAAAATAATAAAATAATCACAAATATTTTAGTTAATATTGATCAAAATGCTAAAATTTTTCAGTCCTTTTTGTGAGGCCTTGTGACTGATTGCTTGAACCCAGATGACTGATACTTATTTGGATCCCCAAAGCTTAATAGATTATATCACATCAGAAAATTTATTATGCATAAACTGTTAAAGAATGCTTGTCATCCAAATATATCAGGAAGTAGTCATTATTTCATGCTTTATACCTGCAGTCCTTGCAAAATTCAGCATTGATTAACAAACATTCTATAAAAGGATTAAGTTCAGAATGACTAATTTTTCCTCAATAATTTAAGGGCTCCAATAATACAGGACTGCAATGTCATTGTAATTCGTACTGACTGTGCCTCTTCCAGACATGACCCTTTCTGTCTTATAGTAAGCTGTTAATACTTGTCAGTAATTATTCAGTCTTAAGTTACTAAATTCACTCATCAAAAGCTTTTACAAGAATGATTCTCAGTCTTCAAAGTATTGATTATAGTAATTTTTTCCACTTAGCATTTGTTAATGAATTATGTACTAGTTATGTGAAGATGTATAAAGAGGTAGTAATGTTTCAGTCTTCAACATTTATGGACATTAAGATTTAGTTACTTATGAGAGGATAAAAAAGAATTTAGAAATATGGGCAGGAGAGGAGTTGAAAAGATGACACAAAATTGCAGTCGTTAGGTGGTCTTTGTTTTGATGGTGTCCAGTACACGCAATTCTATTTGATCTTTTACCTTTAGTGAGCAACATCATTTTGTAAATTTTAACAATGATTAATTATACAAATACATTAACATTATCCCAGCTGTAGTCTTATCCACTGCAGTTTTTAATTCTTCCATATCGGCTACAAGTTGTCATTTTCATTGACTATCTTGTTCTAACAGACTCTATCAACGACAGTTTATGACAGTTTATAACATATTTATTTTTGCTCTTATTAGATCTTCGCATTTGGAATATATTACAAATAGTCAAAAAAAAAAAAAGTAAAGATGAAGCTAAGGTCTGGTGCTCAAGTAAAACTTGTTCCACTTGTGGCAACACTGTGATGATATTTTCTCTCAAGTTTACATATCTTGTAAAAAACACTTATATGCAACTGTAGTAATGCTAATATGACACATAGCAAATCAGAAATACCTTGTTAGAACAGCACATTTACAAAAATGAAGGCTTCCATAAAATAAATTATGAATATCCATCAAAAAACATATCTTAATTCAAAATAGTGTATTTATTACATTTAATATTTGTATTGATGATGCTCTGAATTGCTTCAATGATTAAACTTGTATGAATTTGAAAAGTAGGTAAATGTCATATTAGCTTCATTTGTTTTTTCAGTCTAACTTTTCCAAGAAAGAGGATTAGAAAGTTACATTGTAGCAAGAGGGGAATAATTTTGCGCTTTTTTTCCCTACTGTGCTTCATTAAAAAGAAGGGAGGATGGAATCCTTTTATTTTAGAGCTAGAAATAGTTTACAAGTAGAAAACAGTATAATTAAGAATTTCTCTACCTGGATCCCCCAAAATGGATACAATTTGCTAAGTTGTGGAGTTTTTCAGTCACCTGAATTTAAAGTACAACAGTACGGCAGCTTTGAATTGTTTTTCTATTTTTCTTTTATTGTTGTATTTTAAAAAAATGCAAAATAAATCATGTTTCCTGACAGATACCAGTACTGGCTACACATATGCTTAACTTTGATTAGTTCAATCCAATTCAAAGTTAAGCATTTGTGCAGGACAGGCAAAAATTCCTGAACCAGCAATGATTTGCATGTGAAACTAGTCCTGCCTAACTGATCAGTTTATAGTACTCCTATTGCTAGAGAAAAAGGGATGTAATCCAGATCACTGTTCCAGGGAATTGTTTTTGACTTAGCAATGTTAACAGGAGTTAAAAAAAATCTAAACACCAGTTTGACACTCAATAAGGCAAATGTACTTTAAAGGGTAATAGGAACAGATCTGTTGAATGAGAAAGCAGTAATTTTTAGAACATTTCTTTGCTGCTTTTAATGTTCAGAATTATTGTGATAAAGACTGGTGTGTGTACTTCAGGGCATTAGGAAAAAAACATATCCAAAATAGTTTCATTTGATAGAGTGTACTCTATCACACTCATTACTAATTTAAATTTGTTCCATTGAATTGGAACAAATTTGTTCCATTTAAACACCCTACTATTTTAATAAAAAGAAGAATAAACTTTTGCAAAGGTCCCCTTTTCAAATGTTTATGGATTAGGAAATAGACATATTATTTTTAACAGAGTTGAAATAATTAATGCTGAATAGGAAGAGGTAAAACTGAGACTAAACAAAAAATATGTACATGATGTTTACAACATCTAGGTAAAATTCCTCTCAGTGCTCTTGAAATTTCATTTATATGTATAATATTGATGTCCTTTATAGCAGAAATTATTCTATTTGATTTTGTTGAATTGTCATACTGACTACTAGTAGCCCAGAAGATTAATGAAATTTGTTTAGCAACAGTGACTTAAGAGGTAAACTATAGTTAAGTTTCTTAAATTTGATCAATGATGCCTAATTGATTAGGAAAATTTGTACATGCTTGTCATTTGTTCTAGGCAAACCTACAGATTTGTTTTCCTTTGGACATAAATTTGGTGTTTGTAAGTGTTAAAGAATTACATATTCTTTTATAGTTAATTCACTTGACAGGTCTAGATGCTGCCAATACTTAAATCTATTCACCGTTGCAGGTTCCATGAACTGAAATAAAATGTTTCCTTTGAACATGGTTAAGAATTAAACATAAATGTTTTCAGGTTTGGAATCATAGCCCTTTCTCTTCGTGATTTGACCCTTCAGTAGTCTCAACTAATATGTTCTGATGATAAACTAATATATTCTGTTTCTGTTTTGCTAAATTAGACCATATCAGCAGTAACAGTTTTGTTGGAAACATCAACTTCTGTGATTTCATGTGACTCTCCCTCCCAACATTTGCCTTGTCCTTGTTTAGATGACCCTTGGCAGGTTTATATGTTCTGGAAATGTAAATATATGTATATGTATGTTTTGATATCTCATTCTTTACAATTTCCAAAAATCATGAGAAGAATCAAAGCCAGAAGAACTTGAGACACAAAGCTTTCAGGAGGTAAAATGACATTGATTGCATTTTGCATACACATTTCTCTGCCTTTCTTCTCGGTAATTCATTTGTTTCCAACAGAAGCCCTATCTGGAGATAGCATGCTGTCTTAATGTTTGAATCTCCCAATATTAATTCTTTCTGGCTCATTGGAAAAAAA